AACAATTACAGTTACAATTACAATTACAATCCTACTCTATTTCAATTACGGCCCTACTCTATTGTGGCTAGCAGCGGTCGCAAGGGAGTTAGCTCATCAGGGCTTTCTTCACCGATGATCTTTTTCCGCCCATTGTGTCAGTTGCGTCCGGCGATTTTCTGCTGATCAGGTCCAGCACTAGTTCCAGCCTCCCCACACAAAGCGCCGCCAGCATTTCCTCCCACCAAAATGGGAGTACCTATTTATCTACTTGCGGATGGTCTGCTTTCGAACTGCTAGGTGGGCAGGAGCTAGGGACAAGTGATGGGAGCTCACCCCATCATGCAGAGGTGGGCTCGAACCGCTGGAGTGTCGACCATTTCTGGCCAGCAACTCCAGCATCATTAAGCCCCTATGCCACCACGTATATCGTGAATTTATTGTCAGTTACAACACAAAGCTAAGAAGAGGCTTGAGCTCTTCTCAAGTGCTTCAGTTTATAGATTTCAGTGTCCTGATTTTAATGCTTAGTTGAATCTGTTTGTTCTTTCTTAATTCAGTTATTTGACCTTTTAAACAAAAAAGCAAAGCTGCGAGTGCTGGAGGATGGCAAACAGCAGGTCCAGGTTGTTGGCCTACAAGAAATCCGTGTGAATTGTGCTGAGGATGTTATCCGAATGATTGAAATAGGAAGTGCCTGCAGGTTGGTTGCTTTTCTGGCCGTGTTTTAGCTTAGTGTTTATAGTGTTCGGTTAACATGTCCACATCTATTGTATTATATAATCTCCTTCTTGTTTTTCTTAATTGTAGAGGCTGGGTTTGGCATAACACTTAGGTTCTAAGTGCTAATATACAGCATGAGATATTCCATAGCACAGGCGTTTTTACATTTTAAAATGAAAAAAAGCTTTGTGCCAAGGAAACTTAATCCGCATGAGCAAAATTTTAAACTAATGTTTCTATACAAAACATTTTAGTTATTTTTCTACATTTTTTTAAACCTAAGAATATTTTGGTTGCTACAAAAAAAATCCTGAGAGGAAGAGGTAAAGAGAATTAGAAGGAAATTAAGGGAGATTAAGAGAGAGCATTTAATCATTTAAGTTACAGAAGTGTCACTTTGAATACCTAAGTATCTTTTACAGACATTCTGTCATGATATGCTAACATTTTAATACTAAAACCTGGAAGTGGAAACGCTAATTGAAATATGAGGTTAGATAAGATGGGCATAAGTTATGGGAAGAAAGATAAAGGATGCAGAACATTTGGTGCAGTCATATATTTTTAGCAGGGATTAATATTATTTGTGCTCATAATACTGTGAGAGGGAAGCTATGCTTCAGTGAATTAAATCACTCTAAACTTAGAGCAGTAGTGGAGGCAAGCCACTGTGGTTTCCTGTCCCTCTGAGTTCATAGTAAAGGAGAATGGGTACTTTCTCTACCTGGTAGATGCTCTGAATGCCTGCCAGGCACAGAAGCAGAGAAGGACTGTAATTCTCTTGCTTTGACTAGTTAAGGATGAGGCCCTTCAAACTTTAAAAGTGAAAGATTGAAAAGAAATTAAATTCCATACTCCCCCCCACCTCCCTGGCTGCAATTTGGACATTGCATCTGATTGACTACATCATAACATGATGATGACAACAAATTTTTGGATGGTGCATAAGACTAACCAAAACATATTGACTGCCACTAATCAGTAATTCTGTTATCATTGTAGGACATCTGGACATACATTTGCCAATTCCAGTTCCTCTCGATCACATGCTTGCTTTCAAATTATTCTGCGCAGAAAAGGAAAGCTTCATGGCAAGTTTTCTTTGGTGGATTTAGCTGGCAATGAGAGAGGTGCTGACACATCTAGTGCTGATCGTCAGACACGGATGGAAGCAGCCGAAATAAACAAAAGCTTGCTGGCACTAAAGGTACAGAATAGAACATAATAGCATTGTTGGTGTATGATTGGCCTCAGCAAGAGCAGAAGTCGTACTGGACTGTTAACTAGTGTGAGGCCTATGCTGCTACAATCTCGCTATGTTACTGATTGCTTACAGCTCTGTACATATGGGCAACTTATTATCCTTGCTCCTTTTCCCATCTTTTAGGAATGTATCCGTGCTTTAGGTCAGAATAAACAACATACACCTTTTCGGGAAAGTAAACTTACTCAGGTGCTGAGGGATTCTTTCATTGGAACAAATTCCAGAACTTGTATGGTACGTTGTATAGGAGGTCTTACGATCTTAACTGCAAGAAGAACTATGGTGTGGTTTCATCAATCTGTCTGTTACAACTACTCTTTTTGAAAAGTTCTTTAAGCGATGTTAGTCTGGGCATATTGAACTGGAAAAAGTCCTATAAGTTTGTGGGACCCTAAATTCTGAGTAACTATTCTGAAAAAAAATCTAAAGTTTTAATGTTTCATTATAAATAAGGTCAAGAAAGCAGAGGTGACAGAGTACAAGCAGGTAGATTAGCGGGAGTGCAGCTGTGCCAAAAGGCGAGAGCTGAGCACAAGCTGGTAAAAATTTTGTTTCCTTTTAGATTGCAATGATTTCCCCAGGCATGAGTTCCTGTGAATATACACTAAATACCCTGCGATATGCTGATAGGTGAGTGATATCTGAACTTGCAAATCTCACCATAACTAGGGGACGAAATGGGAAAAGAGTTTTATGTTTTTTTAAAGGATTGCCATTTCTAAATTAGTTCAGGTGGGAGAAACATTAAGGCTTCTGATACAAAGAAATGGGTTAGGTTTCCTTTCCTTGCTCAAAAAGCAGTCTACCAAAATGCCTGTCAAAAATCCCCTTTGATTTTGACTAGAAATGTTCCAGTATTAACCTAATCTCAGGAAACACTTGCTATATGAGGTAAACTTTAAGCAAAAGAAGAAACAACTGATTATTGGGACTGTTCCTAGTAAAATTTACAAGGGAAGGAAAGCCTAATCTAGTTACAGGTAGTCCTCAACTTATGACCATCCGTTCAGAAACTGTTTGAAGTTATGGCGGTGCTGAATGGACTTACAACTGGTTCCTGAAGTTAAGGCCATTGCACTGCCCCCATGGTCACATGATCAAAATTTGGGCATTTGGCAGCACACCTGCACTTACGACCACAGGGGCGCTTCAACTTGCCCCACCTATCTCCCCCCACATCTATGTCCTTTTGTCCCCCTGCACTCCGTGGCCCCTGCTGCCCTAGCTGACCTTCACTGTCTTCTTGTTCGTGCTACTGACCAAGCATGCCTAGCCTGGCCCTTTGCAAGGCAGCTGCTGGCCGCATGAGGCTTTCTTCCCCAGGTCCTTGCAAGACCTGGGGGAGGAGGGCTCAAGAGGCCAGCCGGCGCCCTGGGTAGGGCCAGGCGCCGGAGGCCCTGTCCCGAG